TCATAGCAGCCACGAAGTCCTGAGCCACCCCAGAGCCAGTCACCTTGGCATGGATGTTGAAGTTCTCCCAAACCAGTTGTCTGGGAGTCCTCAGCACCACTTCTGAGACATGCTCTCTCGGCTCAGGCAGGGAGACTGCTGGGCAAGCAAGGAGGACAGTAAACCAACAGAATCCCTAATCTGTTCTGATTGCCCAATGCCAGGAACACACACTCTAGATCCTCCCTCTTCCCAAATGGACAGAGATCCTAGAAAGGGAGGGAGGGAAAGGGAGAGGGAGAATATGTCTATATTCAAAGTGTTGGTGCTGACCTTTAAAGCCCTAAACGACCTTGGTCCTGTATACCTGAAGGAGCGTCTCCACCCCCATCGTTCTGCCCGGACACTGAGATAAAGCACCAAGGGCCTTCTGTGAGAAGCGAAGTTACAGGGAACTAGGCAGAGGGCCTTTCCAGTAGTGGTGCCCATCCTGTGGAATGCCCTCCCATCAGATGTCAAAGAAATAAACAACTATATGACATTTAGAAGACATCTGAAGGCAGCCCCGTTTAGGGAAGTTTTTAATGACTGATGTTTTAATGTATTTTTAACCTTCTGTTGGAAGCCGCCCAGAGTGGCGGGGGAAACCCAGCCAGATGGGCTGTGTAGAAATAATAAATTATTCTTATTCTTATTCTTAACCACAAGCAGTTCCCCCTCCCTAACCCTCAAGTCTGTCCTGATGCTGCACCAAGCAGCAGGTGGGCACAGCTGGGTGAGACCAACTCCTCCCTGCTCACCCCCTCAGGTCTCAGTGATATCAACCAGATCGGCCTCCTCATCCACAATCAGATCATAAATGAGGGAGGTCTTATTCAGAGCCAACCTGGCATTCAGCAGCAGCTGCAGAACCAACAGCTGGCTGATACGACAACCATAATACCCCAGGTTGAAGCATCTCATTAATAGGCCTCTTGTACATGATGCCCCCCATAACTGAGTCAGAGCTTGTATGTAAATATAATATACAGTATGTGCTTTATATTTTTCCTTATGGCAGTTTCAATTCCTGACAAGATTCCTAGAGTTTACACGAAGACCCTTTGCAGCAGGGCTTGTCAACCTGGTCCCTATCGCCCACTAGTGGCGGTTTAGGGATTCTAGGTGGGCAGTAGGGGGTTCTACGGCACAAGCTGAATCCTCCTTCCATCAAGCATTTGTGGGCAGTAAGGGAATTTGACCATCAAGAAAGATGCATACGTGGGCGGTAAGTATAAAAAGACTGACTACCCCTACTTTACAGTATTGAAACAAACACTGTACCAACCCCCAAAACACCATCCCCCCAAAAAACCAAAGCTGGCATCTTCAAGCAATACTTGAAGCAGTCTCCTATGAATAACCAGATAGCAATATTGAAAATTATTTAGCACAATAACAAGTTTCAGCATTGCTTTCCTAAGGAATATACCCAGTGGAAGAAGCAAAGAAGAAGACAATCCAACCATGAAATAGAGAAGAGGTTTCAGTGATACAGCAAGTAAAAAAAACAAAACCAACACCTTCAGGGAAATGCTTTAATTCCCACAATTTTCATATTTTGTGGCATCTGTCCAATTCATTTAACAGCTGGGTTGCTGCTGCTGCTGTTTTTTTATTCCTCAAGTTTGAGTAGAGACCACAAGCCTCGAGGGGTTATTTCTTCTTTGAGCTCTTTTGTAAGAATTTGGGGAGGGGTATTTTTGCCATTATCAGATGCCAAGGTGAAGTGAAAGAGGGACAGAATGAGTGAGTGTTTCAAGGGTTGCCGTTTGGTTCTGGCTGGGACACCATCCACCAGCAGCAAGTCGGACATGACAGCTTAGCCTATGGGTAGGCAAACTAAGGCCCGGGGGCCGGATCTGGCCCAATCACCTTCTAAATAGGGCCCACGGACGGTCCAGGAATCGGCATATTTTTACATGAGTAGAATGTGTCCTTTTATTTAAAATGCATCTCTGTGTTATTTGTGGGGCATAGGAATTCATTCATTTATTTATTTTTTCAAAATATAGTCCGGCCCTCCACAATGTCTAAGGGATAGTGGACCGGCCCCCTGGTGAAAAAGTCTGCAGACCCCTGGGCTTAGCCCCAAGGGAATGCAGCCATTGTGAGAAAAGACGTTCCCCACCCTGGTTTAACAGTTATACCCACCACCACCACCCCGGACAATAAGTCCTCTGCTGATCTCTATTTTAACCCAGAGCCCTCAATACTCAAGAAAGATAGCTGTGTAGGATCAAGGAAGTTCAAAATAAAAAGAACAGGTACCTTACCTGGGCAATGCTATTACAGTAATAAACTTCTACATTTTGAGAATTTAGGAACATTCCAAAGTTTCCTAACTAGTGTTCCAGAGGACAACAGATCAACCTATGTTATCATACGACAACTTTTTCAGAGTTGTTTTGGGTTTTTAAAGTGTGGCTTATTGCTCTGACGGTCCTTCTTGCCCTTCCACTGACATGTGGGAACGGCAGTAAGAGTTTAAAGCAAAATATAATAATAATAATAATAATAATAATAATAATAATAATAATAATAATAATAATGTGGTTATGTTTTACAGGTTGGCTCCCTTTCATAAAAGACAGTCTGGTTTCAAAACCAGAGCACAACTTCTTGAGGTTTATATGGATAGTGGCTTTTCTCATCTTTTCATGTGCCACTAAAAAGTCTTCATTTCATGGTTTGCTGTCCTCTGTTTCCTCCACAAGCTACAACTTGTCATACCAAAACTAACCCTTAACATTCAGAGATCCGAGATATCTCAAGAGGAGTTAGTGAAAAGAACCATAGTAACCTGCCTCCTAGAAAGTGGAGACTTGTTACATGACTTCATTAAATATATATAAATAAGTGTTAGGTGTTCAAAAGAGAGGGAAATCGCAGAGCTGAAAAACCCAAAGGAAAAGCCAAAGCATGTTTTTTTTAAAGTAACGAGAGATAGTGATGGCACTAAAAACCAACACAGAGTAGGCCACAGAGCAGAGATCGAGAAACACGGCCCTCCTATTGTTGTTGGACTCCAACTCCTATCAGTCCCAGTCAGCACAGACAATGTTCAGGGATGATGGGAGTTGTAGTCCAGCAAGTTACCTCACCTCTGCCATAAAAGCTGTCAAGTCAAGCAAGAAAATATTCTGAGTTGCAACTCCTTTTGAGGGATATAAACATTCTTCAGGGACAGATCCTTGGTGGTGGGGGTATGGAAATAGCAATCTTTATTATCACATGGTATGAGCCACATTTCAAAGAATAACCTCCTTTAAAAAAACAAAAAACCCATAGCATATGTAGGAATTGCTCCATTTCATTGCATTCTCTTGGCAAGGCGCTTATTTGATGAAAGATTCCACACACACCAAGATATTCCCTTGAAGAGGGGCTGGGTAGCCAAAAACAAGTCGGGACTCAGGATTTTTTTCTTGAATCAATACATTTTCTACTACCTTGCCTACATTTTTAAAACACAATTTGCTCCACACAGAAAGGTTAGAAGTTTAGCGGAACCCCTGAGGTACAGAACTCTGAGTCATCCAAGTAAAGAAATTACACTGGGGGAGCAAAAAGGCAAAGCAGTCGATAGTAACACAGTTCAGACACCCAAACGGCAGGAAATATCCAATTATTAACAGCTTCTGGTTAAGAAAAGCAATTCTTGTTGTAATTTACAATGGAATCAACAGCCATTCTCTTACAGAGTGCTCGCTGCCACACAATTTTTTGTTTTTTAAAAATTACCTAACAGTCACTTTTCAGCATGTAGTACTCTTGCCAGTTGTCTTATGTAGGTTTCATTGTCATTCTTGTGCATCCACCTTCTTGAATGACTCCCGAAACAACTCCTGTGTTCCCTAGTCTTCCTTGGAAAGACTCAAATATTGCCATTATTGACTATGATATTTATTGATGCCATTATTGCTACTCGTTAGAACCAGAACATGGTGGTCACAATGAACTACTGTCACAAAAAATGACTGGTATAGGGAGGGTGCTGACCACCATACTATATGCTGAGGGTTCACTTCCTCTCTTGAGCCCTACCCTGAAAAAAACTACCCTCAGGAGATGACTTTGAAGGCAGTGATGTTCATGTAAACGAAGTGCGTTCCAGGTCAGCCCTAGTTTATATTCCTTTCAAAGCCAACAGGGTGCCTGAGGCCTATCAAGCGCAAGAGAAGAAAGTTGAAACCATTTCACAATTTTATCTCGCTCCTTGCCAAGTGATGTCTCCTGCTTGATTTCCTGTCAGGAAACACATTTATTTGTGGCTTTCGCTTTCCTTAACTCTCTGCCATTTGGCAGGCCATTAACCTGGAGGAATTGATGTTCTGAATATTAAATTGCTATTAGGAAAGCAATGAGCACCACGTTCTCCCAATCATTTGTTTATTATTTTAAAAAAATAACTTGGGAGGGGACGATGAGAAAGATCGAACGATTTACCTCCTAGTGGTGCAGCAATATCGTGATTCTATGTTGAGATTCCTGCATTGCAGGGGGTTGGACTAGATTACCCTTGGAGGCCTTCACAACTCTAAAATTCTGTGATATGTGCCTTGTACTGTCTACCTGACTAGCAGTGGCTTTGGGCAATCAGACAAAGGTCTTTCATGAATGGAGATGCTGAGGATTGAATTTGGGACTGTCTGAACGCAATACATGTATTTTACCATCTGGCCTAACCCCACCTACTCCCCCCCTTCCGGTCTTTGGTTGCTCTGAACAGCTTCTAACCACTGTGGTACTGCAGGAATTATACATGAATGTGTCATCCAAAGTTCCATATATGTATGTATGAGTGAAAGGTTTCAAGAATATGGGAATATCTACTATGGCCACTGACCAAATTAGAAGTTAGTCAATATCAGAATCATCACAGGTCTAGATTTTTAAATTCAGCATAACCTGTATTTCCAAATGGAAATTGAGTCACATCCGCATTCTCACTCTGAAATTTACAAAATTATGTGGGGTACCTTGCATAATCAAAGGTTTTTACCAGTTCATCTAATATCCGGTTATTTTTCAGGTCAGGTTCTGTAGCTGCCTAGAAAAGAACAAAGGGGGTGCTAATTCGCTCATACATTTCCAGTATCTCAAATCATCTGCACAAAAATTGCTATGTTGAAAGCAAAACATAAAAACCAAGTATGCATCCTTTTCCCTTAAAACATCTAAGCTGCTAGGGAAATCACCTCTTTTACCAAAATATCTGAGAAATGTTTTATAAATGTAAGTTTCTTTTATCAAATTATAAAAAGCTATTACTGGCAAACTAATAAACTCTTAACTCCAATTGCCAGAAATTCACTGTTTTATTATGGCTGCAACGGCTTTTTGTAAGGCAAAAGGATATATACTGAAGATGCTAATATTAAGGCACATTCAGGGGTTGGAGGAGAAATTAGAGAGAGAACTTAAAAAGGATAAAACTTCAATTAATGGTGGAACAAACAGATACAGATAACACAAAGGTTTGCGGCATATAAATTATTCTTTTTATAAAAACTGCCTGATATTTATCTTTCTTCTGCTTTTAGTTGCCTTGTATGGTGCCAAGCTGATACATACTGTGTTCCATTGAAATAAAACTAATTGTTTGATGTAGACGATACAAAGGCAAAAACAAGTTATTTGCTCCAGACATATTTACAAAGCAGTCTTCAAAACCAGTACCAGGCGTCAGGGGAGACAGGAAGCTGAGACTTCCAACTTTCCATTCTTTGTAGTCCGATTCATACCTTCAGGAGGAGGGAATAAGAGGCAAACATACTTTGCCAGTGCTTATCAAAACCTCTGCTTCAGTTTTTAGTGAAACTTATCATTTTAAGAAGCCTACTAAAGTCCAACAAGCTTGAAGCGACAACTATTCTCAATATGGCTTAGGGTAAATATGGCTCCCTGCTATTTACTTTTCCAACAATGGATTTAGAGCCAACATGCTGTGCATATATAATACAGACTTCATTTGCAACTTAGGAAACATTACTCCCAGATTTGCTACAGTTCCTCAATGCTGAGCACCATCTCATGAGCCATAAGGGTTTGGGTACACTTCAGTTATTAGCTAGGCATTCAATTTTAATCTTATAATAAATTTTATTGAGCAGTCACAAGAGAGATTTATGGTGGGATGCATCAATTAAAAGCACACAGAATGCTACAACTGTGAGCCAGAGGCTAGATTAGAGCATATGACTAGGAACCTAGGAGGTCTGGATGGCCAGAAACTCAGTGGTAGGCCTTGAAAACTTTGCTTCACAGCCGTAGAAACCCATGGAAGATTTTGGGCGGGTCACTCTCAGCCTCAATTGCCCCCCTCTGAAATGGGTCTTACCTTATATGGCTGTGGTGAGAGCAATTCTAGGCTAAAGTTTACGTTTTGCAAATTTTAAAATGTTGTATAAATAAGTAACAGTAAAACGGCCAGTGTTCGAAACTCCCATTGTTTTAGGTGCATTTTGCCACAGGGAATTTCATTAGCACGAGCAGTTCCAGAGCTCTGGGCGCAGTACTGCGCCTAAGATTTCAGATTTAAAACTGCACAGTGGAAGAAAAGGAAGACCTTTTTCTGCCTCCCCACTTCCAGCTACTCTCTGAAGGCTGGAGAAGAGACCCTCTTAAGAACATTAAGGGTAAAGGTACCCCTGCCCATATGGGCCAGTCTTGCCAGACTCTAGGGTTGTGCGCTCATCTCACTCTATAGGCCAGGAGCCAGCGCTGTCCACAGACACTTCCGGGTCACGTGGCCAGCGTGACAAGCTGCATCTGGCCATTTACCTTCCCGCTGGTAAGCGGTCCCTATTTATCTACTTGCACCCGGAGGTGCTTTCAAACTGCTAGGTTGGCAGGCGCTGGGACTGAACGACGGGAGCGCACCCCGCCGCGGGGATTCGAACCGCCGACCATGCGATCAGCAAGTCCTAGGCGCTGAGGTTTTACCCACAGTGCTACCCGCGTCCCCTTAAGAATATTAGGGGGGGTTAATTATGAAAAATGAACATAATATTTTAGCTGCAGTTTTCAGCTTCGTATTCTTGTTATCAAAAAGCACACCTAAACATTCCATTGTTGCACCTATACCCTCGGTTTAAGGTGCCATTTAGCTCCTAGCTTTCATATCTCAGTTTTTAACCCTGAAAAAAGCAAACCTATGTCTGTTCTGGGTGAAGTCATTTGCACTTCAAGGAAATCCCATAAGATCTCAGTAATTTAATTGCATGCACATTGTGCTCTACAAATACTTACAAGTGACAGTAGACTATGCTGGAAAGAAAGTTAAGCATTTACCATACGTTGTGCTACTGGCTTGCTCACCATCCAAGTCATACATCGAACAAGGGGGGCAGGTTGTTCCATTTAAGATCCCAAAATGCCTAAATCAGGCACTGACTGAACTAGAAACATTTTCCAATATCTCCAAGTGTTCTCAGTTTGTAGAACTGTAGAGCATTTGCTTCAGCAGAAACAGTAGGACAGGAAATAACACTTACCACACAACATGTAGGGCACTGAGTTTTGTAGGACAGGGACTTGCGAATGCAGAGAGAACAATCTGGAGGAAAAACAAACACAACATAATTAGAACACCAGGCTATTTGGCAGCGCTAGAAGTGCTGCAGTTTGATTTTCAGTTGGCAGAACCTAGAGTGTAAATTTCATAATTGGTTTCAATTTCCCTCAGCGTATTAACTTTGTGCTCATCGTTTTAATGGTGAAAAATATTTATCAGAAGAGCAGCCTCACAAAGTAGAGGAAACTATACAATGCAACCTTGCAAGTAGGATGAAACACATTCATAGCTCATAACATACATCTAATGGACAATAATGGACCACATGCAAACAGGAAATGCTACCCCATACTTTGGTCCTGCCAGCTACTTCCTAAGATAAACAAACCATACATTTCAGAGCATCCCTCTACAGGTGAACACCTTGGAGTAAATGTACACCAGTTCTTTCTACAAAGAATTCTAACTACAGCCAAGATGTGTGGATTAAAATAAAAAATAAAAACATATTCAATTAAAAAAAATTGATTAAAAACATATTCCTTTAAAAAATTTTAAAAATAAAAACAGGGGGCTCTGCTAGTGCAATCATTAACTCAGGTGAGAACAAAATTACCTTTGGGTTGGGTTAGATGACCCTCGGGGTCTCTTCCAACTCTAGGATTCCAACAAATGCTGTTCTAAAGGTTTCGTGGATTGTTAGGTTGGTTGGCCTTTTACTTGTGTTTTTGAAGGTAAAGATCCAGCAACCCATGTTGGCATGGAAACCTTTTGCATCAGGCACCCATGGTCAATGGTAGCATAAGCTTAGGTTTTTTCTTCAGTTTAGCACATGAAACTCATCCCTGTTCTTTAAGTTAGACAGTCAGAAGCCTGTGGCAGAAAAAAATAGCCTACCTTCTGTCACGAATCTCAATACTTTTGCTTTGGAAAAACCATCTTTATTTCAGCCAGATCCTAGACAGTGTTTTAGGCAACCCCTCCTTTTAGGAAACAAAACCTTTAAGTTCTTGTCCTCAAGGGACAACATTGTTTAATCCAACCATTTGAAATCAACAAATTTATTTATATGCTTCTTATTCCAAATTACAGTATGCTCAAATCAGCTTACAAGAACAGTAAATATATAGCCCCAACCAGTAAATGAATGATAAAGTTATACTAGCAAGCTAACAAATATTACAATTAGAGCTACCCTGAATGTATGAAAAACGTTTCTTTCACAAGAATTAAAATATCCACATTCAACTGAACAATTTTTCACTAATGAATCCAAATCACAAAGGGATCTGCAGCAGAAAAGGCTTTTAAGTATCAAAAGGTTACATTTTAAACCAATTAATTTCCATCACAGAAGCAGCATTAAAATAAGGTTGGGGAAACTAGAAGTTTGTTCATCTTTATCAACGTAAGAGCAGCAAAAAACAAGCTCACAGGAAAATCCAATACCAAGGAAGTTCACCAGTTCTGACAAACAGTAACTGGACAGCCCATCTCTCAGCTGGGCAACCTTGTATCCAAGCTCTCATCTAGGGCATCATCAAGGCTCAAGGGATCCTCCATCATGAGCTCCTCCTTGTCTCATCAGAGAGCCCATAAACCTTTACTACCAATAATTCTTCCCATAACAAATTGAGTGGGGCTTCTCTCTAGGCCACAGGAGGCTATGTAACTGGAATCAGTCAGTTCCCACCCTCCAGGCCATGTGGAGTTGAGACAATCAAAGAAGCAGCCACCAGGCCTTGCAGAACTCACATCAAACCACTATGCCACATTAAGATGTGTTTTGAATAAGTGACAGATTCCTTGTTCACTATAGCACTGGTGTTGACGCAAGTTTAAAATTAGTAACTAATCCATTTACATCACCTTTTATGATGAATACTAAGAAGCACTGGAGCCATTAACAAAGTTCCTGTTCAACGTCTACCCTGTCAATCAATTAAGTAGTCGACACAATTAATGATACATAATTCAAAATGCCATACATGAAAATCCATACTGGAAGGGAAGCTTTGGAGCTGCATGAATATGGATCGGCTTAATTGGTCTGTCTGGAAATCCCTTGAGCACCAAGACATTTTAGAACGTGAAAGGACTGGTTGATGTTATGTTCAATATTAATGTCCCGGAGGAGCTGGAACACACTTCGAGATAAACACTGAAGCTGAACCAAAAGAACAGTCTTCAGCACTACACCTCATTTATATTTGCGGTGACACTGCTCTGTCTAAAGAACTGTACCTACAAAACTAATTACAGCACTCAACTGAATCTCCAAGTCAGAAGAGCCAACTACTGTCCAGCCCAGTCTCAGGAATATCCAACTACATTAAACACCAGAGAAAGGAAACCAGGACAAGGGACACCAAGCTGTTCAGCACAGTCAGAACTATACCACAATGCCAGCAATGTTTTAATAAAATCTTAGCTATAGCCTTTTTTACTATTTTTACAAAGGTGGATGAAGCTCTCTAAACAATATGATCTTCACAGTGCCACTATACAGATCTATGGCATATTCAGAATGTTGTCTACAGTTGAAGTCATCCCATCTCAAAAAGGGTTTCATAAGAGCAGCAGCAGATACAGGAAACTACAGCTGAAAAGAACATGAGTGAATATTTTTCCTACAAAGAAATACTAAAGAAGCAGAAACTTCTTTGTTCAGAGAAACACATCTAGGAGACCTAACAGAAGCTCATGAGGTTATGAATGTTGAAAATAGAGTAAACGGCTACATTTTCTCACACTATGCTAGCTTTCAGGATCAGTTGTTTACTGAATGAGGGGTGCTCCCAGGTGGAAGTTTATTGTGGAATTGGTGTTAATAATGCACAGAAGGGTCTTTTTTTGCACTGTCCACAAGACATTGCCATCATCAAAATGCTAGCCTGTCATTTTTTCTTTCCACACACATTTAAGTTTCTATCTTACCACAGAAAATCTGGAAAGTAAAATTGTCATGTATCTGCAGTCACTTGTGATGGGGAAGCACATTAGCACAATTGTTAGGTAAGTAGCTTGTGGCACATACAACAATATTTTTGTGGCTGGTCCTTATTGACACACCCCTACCTCCATTTGCTCCTCGCATGAGAATAACCAAACCATTTAGTTTCTGGCTGCTCACAATGCTAAAGGAAAAACACTTTATTTCCTCTGATAGATGCATGCAGAAGGCATGCTGGTTTTCAAAGGAGTGAGTCACTCAAGATCTCTGCAAAGTAAATGTGAGCGATTACCTTGGAAACTAATCAGAGTACCTACAGCAGGCTTTAAAATAATAATGTGGAGGTCTTGTACAAGACCTGTTGATCACTCTTGTGCAAGCCTTGTACATTAGGTAAATAAAGCTCTTGACATCAGTATTGCAAGATTAACAACAAATGGAAATGACTATTTTGCATATCCTTCCACCCACAAAATCCCACAAACCTTCACTTTGCTCATTGAGAAACATGATAGCTAAGGTTAGTAATGTTCACTTCAGCACACTTCCTGAAGAATTGGGTTTTTTAAAAAGGTGTTCATGCAAAGCTCCAAAAATATCTACATGCAAACCGAGAACATAAAAAGGTAGTGCAGAAGACAGAAGCGGAGTAATTGAGGGGAGGGGCAGAAAAAACACAGCTGAATACTGCAGGTTAGCTAACCATGGCATATGGTCAATAGCATGCAAATCTCATGTTTTAAAAGGTAAATCCACTTCTGATAAACATCAAATAAAAGTAGGAAAAGGGAAGTCATGCTTGCAAGCTGCAATATTGCAAACAAGACTACACCATAGGACCTAAGGTGGGGAAAACATACCGCTATTTCCAAGTCACTTTGAGCATCTAATAATTTGATTGTATCATACTACTGTAATTAATGAGACAACTATTCTAAAATCAATTAAAATTAGACCGGACCACAAATAGTTTTGTTTAGCAGCCCCACACATCTTTTTGCTCCATAAATAGTTTAGACCCTTATATTTCTAGTGTTGATAAAAAGCTGCCTTAAACAGAGTCAGACTATTGGTCCATCTAGCTGAGTACTGTCTACTCTCAATGGCAGTAGCTCTCCAGGATTTCAGGCACGGTTCTCTACCAGCCCAACCTGGAGATGCCAGAAATTGAACCACGGAACATTTGCATACATAACAGACGCTCTGAGCTAGGACTGCTTCCTTACCATCTTCATTATGACAGCCATATATGACTTTCATGTCTTCCATAGGCCCAGGGCAAGTGCTACGTTTTGTGGTGAAGGACCTTGAGAACAAATGAGAACTTACATCCTGACCATCCATGAGAACTCATACTGAGAGAATGGCCTCTGCCTCCCTCTCTCCAGCCCCAAATGCACTACTGCCTTTGACAGCTGTCTGCGCCTCCTCCTGGCATCCATGTTTTTACATATGGAAGAGTTTTTAATATTTTTTAATTATTATAATTGTCTTTTATATATGAAATTGGGTATTTTTTTTAAATTATGAAGTCACTTCAAGATACTTTATGGACAGTGACTCATATATGGAATTAAACAAAAAAATAAAATAAGTATATCCCAAACTTTAGAGTCCTGGACCTTAGCTATGGTCCAACGGCCTTATCACTAAGCACACTTGTTCAGAAATAAGTGCTACTTGCTTCCAAGTAAATATGCTTAGGATCAAGTTAGAGGTCAGGTCAACACCACCAGGTTGTATTGTACTGGTTGCCTTGCACTCAGGGCACTGTAGCATAATAGGTTGCAGGCAACCAAGAACCTCCTATTTAAAGCAGACAGCAAGAGCCACTTATGACGAGAATAACAAAACTATAATGAAACCTGGTGAATCAACAAGTCTGCCATCAATTTCTGTAAATTACAGACTCCCAATACCACCCTACCCTAAAGATTTAAATTTCTAGTTTATGTATGTTAGCACCCACATATTGGATTTTTAAAATTCAAAAATAACTAAGCAGTGATATAAAACAATACATTAACAGGAAACAAAAATGAAATAAATAACTTGTATACTTACAATTATGTGAACACTGAGGAATGATCATTGCAATATTGAAGTAGTCAAAGCATATTCCACAACGCAACAAGTTATCCACTTCCTGAAATGGGATTTTAAAAGTTTGTTTATAAAGATCTGGCAAAATGAACAGTTCAGATTACATATCAAAAGTAAAGTTTCTCAATTGGAGAAACTATTTACTGAGAAAGAATAGCTGGATAAAATTACTGCCACAATTACATAATAGAGGCAACATAATAACTTACTGACAAAATATAATCATTATGATTTATTGTGCTTAAAATTGTTTAAGTTGGTATTCAACTAAGTTTTACTCAGAGTAGTCCTATTGAAATTAATGAACATGACTAAGTTATGTCCTTTAGTTTCAGTAGGCCTACACAGATGAAAACTTAGTTGACCACCCTAAGTACTATACAAGCTTCAAAAATAAAAGCAGGCGCTGCCCACAAGCTTACAAGCAGCATTCAAAAAAATTCTAAATCAGTATTTTGGCAATACTTTTAGCCTAATAAAGATATTGCCCCAATGTCATGGCTTTGATTTTAATTTGATTTCTGCTCTCTAATGGTAGAAACACCCACAGGTGGTTTATCAGGTGCCAAGCCTGAAACCATTTTAATCCTTTTTGAGAAATGATACCAAGTTACCCTGTGTAAACAGACACAGATCTTTTCCCCCGACACATTATTTTTAAAACAATGTAGATGTGGCAACCACCTTTTCCACATTTATCATGGCAGATGAACAAACACACTAAAAGAAAGTGCATGCATACAATGATTCACACAGACATAGAGACACGAGTGAGGTGCAAATCTCCTTTGTGACAGCTTCAGTACAGTTTTATAGAGCTTCAGGGTGAAGCTAAACTCTGAGTTTGTCCGCAGAGTTTTTCCCAGCCATGTGGCCAGCAGGACTAAGCTGCTTCTGGCGAACCAGAGCAGCACACCGAAAGGCTGTTTACCTTCCTGCCGGAGCGGTACCTATTTATCTACTTGCACTTTGATGTGCTTTCAAACTGCTAGGTTGGCAGGAGCAGGGACCAAACAACGGGAGTTCACCCTGTCACGGGGATTTGAACCGCCGACCTTCCAATCAGCAAACCCTAGGCTCAGTGGTTTAGCAGAATGTCGGCACCCTACATATAGAAATGAGCAAACCAGTGATATTTTAGGGAGAAGGCTAGCAGGCATGGTCCATTACTTACATTATAGGAGCCTACACAACACAAGACACTTGCTGTATGTAGGTTTTATTTTGTTTTTTAATCTTATATTTTGGAAATGTACATCCAGGTTTTTTTCCTTTACATTTTTGGGGGGCCCTAAACTATAGCTTGTTTGGCTTATACAATCCGGCATAACTACCCAAGAGCGGCAGAGGATTTGAGGACCTCAGACAGCAACCTTTCAAGAGAGATGCCTTTTAAAGTGGAAGCTTTAAGCATGGCCCCTCTGCCGCCGCCCCTGAGAAGCTTCGCCTCCAAGGCGAGCCTTTCGAGAAGCGACCCGGAGGCCCCAGCTTCCAAAGGAACCTGGATTTTGCTCCACCCACGGGGCTGCGGGCGGCTCTTCCGTGGCAGGCACTCCGCACATGCTCAGAAGCGCTCTTGGGCATTTCTTGCCTCGCTTGTCATAGGGATAAGGGCCCCTCCGGCCTCGCAGGCAGGTTCTTCCCCGCCGCTTGCTGGCCCCTTACTTACTTTCAGCGCCTGGAGAGGCTGAGGCCACGGAGACTCAGCCGCCGGGACAGACATGATTTCCCCGCCGGTGCCTGAACTCCGCCCTCCTCGCCTCCCAAACTCCGAATCACCCGCGCTCTCCGCCTTCCGGAGCGCGCGGGACGCCACGCACTCGTATCCGGCGCCGAGGCTCATGGGTAATGTAGTTTCTTAAAGTAGTGGAGGGGGCAAATCGCGCTCCATGCTAATTCCCTTGCAGCGGGGCAGTAGCAACAAGGTCCCGGTAGCGGTTATGGAAGGGAGGGCAATTGACTCCGCTTACTACGCCGCTGTTCGCTAGTGGAGCAGGCAGGCTGATGATGAGAGTGTTTGGGGAATGAATTTCCTGCCAGGTCAGCCTGCAGCCACCTGGTTTCCCACCTGGAAGAGATGTGGAGACTCAAGAGTCTTGTATTCAAGGGCTTACTGTACATAGACGTGTGTATGTTCATAATAATAATAATAATTTTATTTATTTATTTATTTATTTATTTATTTATACCCCAGCCACTCTACAGTTATACCTCAGGTTACAGATGCTTCAAGTTGTGCGTTTTCGGGTTGTGCACTGACTGCGCCAAACCCGGAAGTACCTGAACAGGTTACTTCCGGGTTTTGGCGCTCGCACATGCGCAGAAACACTAAATCGTACTTTGCGCAGAAGCGCCGAATCGCAACCCGCGCGTGCGCAGACGCGGCACTGTGGGTTGCGAACGCTGCGGGTTGCGAACGTGCCTCCCGCACGGATCATGTTCGCAACCCAAGCGTCCACTGTATTGATAGTAAGGGAACGGAGGTGGCTTCCAGTTCTGTTTGATTTCCTGTTGGAAACATAGGGGTCTGCCTTGTGAAAAGCTAGAGCCGTGGTTATTCCCAAACTTTTTCGGGCCACCCCTCCCCCTTGGTTCTGTAAACTCATTCCCGATCCCCACCCCACACCCCACCCCAAACCTACCTACAAAAGAAGTATTATCCAGAATAGCGGCTTCCCACTTGGGAAGATAATAACAACACAACTCAAAGCATCGCCAATTTATTTTCACATTTATTCCAAATCCAAATAAAACTAGTTAGCTTCATTAAATCAACAAAACTGATGAACGTGATCCAGAGATACCAGCTTTACAAAGACTTTGATGTAAGATTACAAGATTTTTTTCAGTGAATCCAGGCACACTTTTCAACTTCCTATTAAATAGATGGATTTTGTCAGGGGACTGATTTGTAAATCCGGGGACTGTCCCCAGGAAATGGGGATGTCTGGTAACCTTACTTTGATAGCCATTTACAGCTCCGGAGCCTCCTTAGGCAATCCTGCCGCCCACTTTGGGAAACGCTGAGCTATTGATCCATTGATCCGTCTGGCTAGCTCAGCACTGACTGGGAGACGCTCTCTAGAGTTTCTCTGGAGAGCTCCTCCCAGTCACAGCCTCCTATATACGGTACACAGAAAGTAATCTAGCACTGCACTCAGCAATGGCACAGGTGAAGAACTTGTGATCCTTGTGGTATTGTTTGACTCCAGCTCCCATTGGACCCAGCCAATATGCTGAATGGTCAAGGATGATGATACATCTGGAGCATGCCAGGAGCTGTTATAGGGAAGTGCTATTATTATTATTTTCCCAGCCACTTTGGGCGGCTCCCAACAGAGGACTAAAAACAGAATAAAACTTCAAACATTAAAAACTTCCCAAAACAGGGCTGCCTTCAGATGTCTTCCAAAAGTCAGATAGTTGTTTATTTCCTTGACATCTGATGGGAGGGCATTCCACAGGGTGGGCGCCACTACCAAGAAGGCCCCCTGCCCTGTAACCTCACTTCTCGTGGTGTGGTAACCGCCAGAAGGCCCTCAGCACTGGACCTCAGTGTCCGGGATGAACAATGGGGGTGGAGATGCTCCTTCAGGTATACTGAGCCAAGGCCATTTAGGGCTTTAAAGGTCAGCACCGACACTTTGAATTGTGCTCAGAAATCACACACAAAGCTGCCTGGAACCCTTTGGACATGAAGGTTATTTCCTGTATCCCAGATGATGGAAAGCAGTGACTCAGCAATGATGAGAAACATCTATATATGCTTGAAAGCACTCTCTTTTGACCCTATTACAAGGCAATGCAGCCCACCAGAGGTGGCTGGTTTGGGAGTACCATTGAAGGACAGGCACTTGTAAATTATTTAAGTTTTACAACCATTGCAGGAGCAGAAAAGGGGAGGGATGCTGAACTGGGAGTTCTTCATGAGACACCAAAATGGGTTTCCGTAAGACTGCAGAATAGAGCTTTATGGTGATGAAAACAGCTGTGGAACTTCAGAGTTCTGCAGTAGCATAGAACTCCCCATTTCCATAAAATTTCATCAAATACAAGTGTTCAATAGTCTCTACCCCTATATTTGCTTGTGCTTTTTTATATATATAAAAAAGCGTGCAAAATATATTATTCAATATGTACTGTCTTCTCGTCTTTAACAGTGTTTACTGTTTATGTTTGCTTATAATTCTACAGAGAGTGGTGAAAGTGACCTTGTTCAGTTTCCAGTCTTAAGTGGTGTGTTTTTGTTCACTGGGTCTATTTCACCAAATTGTTTCTAAATAAGTATTCCATCTTTGCTGACTCATCCAAAACCTGCCATAAGTCTTCGGGAGTTCCGTTAAATGTTCTTGTTAGAAAGTCATGTTGACACTGTGAAGGTGAAGCAGACATGAAAACAATACCTGATGAGAGCACTGTTGAGGTTAGTAAGGAGATATGAAATAGGAGTGAGAAAGTGGAACTTTCCCTCAGAGAGTGGCTAGCAGAAGCCATACACTAAGGGCCAGGCCTTGAACCAGAACTAATTGCTCAGATTGTGTAAGATTCTATTAATGCCTCGGCACTTGTGTACTCAGAATATACCACATGCTTCTTTCATTTTCTATGTCTGTCTGGGAACTTTAAACACTTTTACATAACAATATTAGTTTAAATTCAAAGTGCAACAGCAGATAAAAATGAAGCCAATTAATGGTTTTCCACTCTGCTTATTGGACACTGCCTGTCAACGCAATTGACAAAAAAGGCCCTTGAAAGGTTTTATTTAAAAGGATGTCGTTTATCACTTCCACTTCAATTTTATTTCTCTGTTGGCTGGTACTTTTAAGAGATGTCAGGACAGATCTGAAAATACAGTCTAAACTATCTCTCAGCGGCAAGAAGACAAAGAAACCATTTGTATTGAATTATGTCACAGTTTCTCTGTGTTTGATTTAACTGGACTGAAGAAAGCCACAGAGACTGTATGTCTAGGGAGACTTGGGATGCAATGGAGCCCGGGTGCAAAGCCTATAGGCTGTATAAAGCCACACACACACACACACACAAAGGCAAGGAGTAAGAAGACTTTCTGAAACTCTCCATTGAGGACAAGTATAGGATTCCTGCTTGCTCTGGGTCAATGGGGCAGAATTAGCTGACCAATAGCACACAACACGTTCCAAAGCTACAAAAATTGTTGAACAAAACACATCTTACATAGTCCAATGGCCACAGTACCTATAATGCATTTGTAAAGCAGGGCTTGTATTTCATCTGTTTTGGAACTTCTAAACACTCTAATCAATAAGTCAGTTATTGCTACTTATTGGAATCATATATCAAAATCCACTCCTTCCATTTTTCTTCTATCTAGGGCCTATTCTTTCCACAAAAGCAACATCAGTCTGCAGTTTGATGTGGCTGAGATTTTTTTACACACAAAGTCACTAGGACTTGCGTGGCTAATCTATTACCCTCCAGACAGGGCCAGCCCAATAAATTTTGTCACCTGAGACGAACCACATAATGCTCTCGAACCATGGAACCTGACTGGGATATTTTCTACATTTGTACAGCACCAAGCACTCACAAGCAATAATGATGATGATGATGATTTTGAATTCCTACAGCACTGAGCACCTGGGGTTTAGGGCTAAGGCAAAGCACTTCCAGTTATTTGATTAATATGTTGTGGTAAATCTCCTATCTTCCACAAATTCATTAGAGTAACTGGAGAGGACACAATGACCAAAAGATTACATCTAGCAGGTGGTGCAGGGAAAAGGTCTCTGTAAAGTTCATCCATTTCTTGTGAAATAAGATTTTGTAATTTACACTTCCATGAGTTCTTGGCTGCATCATTTTTAATCTGAAAACGCTTTTTTTCATTTTGCCAGGGCATGACAGCAACAACCCAGCAGGTCACCCAGTTCAGCAGTTAGGAGGTAACAGTATGTCCATTCTTTAGATAAGCAGGAGTCTTATTATAGGGATATGACCTGACATGCCTTATCCACAAGGTAGCTTTAAAACAGTGTTCTTTTAAAACAAATTAAGTGCAAACTACATTTTCCCATACTTCCCTTTTATAACTCTGTTGTTGAATTCCAAAGGACTTTCCCCAGGTCATTCATGTATATAGTGTGCCATGTGATGAATTCAGTTAGACATGTTGTATTTCAACTAAGAGCACCCCAGCAGCACAGATGCTTAATCATAATGGGAATCTGAATATTTGCATAACTAAAATGTAGGTACTGTGGGGTTTTATAAACAGTAATATCTCCATCCCACCCACCCTCTAGGGCAGATACTTCTGGTAAGGTGTGATCATCAGGAAATCAACCATGCTTTCTAGGCTCCCAACATACTATACAGTTTACACTAAAAGGTAAAGGTAAAGGACCCCTGACAGTTAAGTCCAGTCGCAGACGACTCTGGAGTTGCAGGCCGAGGGAGCCGGCGTTGGTCTGCAGACAGCTTCCAGGTCATGTGGCCAACATGACTAAGCCGCTCCTGGCGCAATGGAACACCGAAACCAGAGCAGTGCACGGAAACATCGTTTACTTTCCCAACGGAGTGGTACCTATTTATCTACTTGCACTTTTGGGGGGGCATGCTTTCAAACTGCTAGGTTGGCAGGAGCAGGGACCGAGCAACGGGAGCTCATCCTGTCGCAGGGATTCGAACCGCCGACCTTCCGATCGGCAAGCCCAAGAGGCTCAGTGGTTTAGACCAGTGTTTCCCAACCTTTTTTGGGTAAAGGCACACTTGTTTCATGAAAAAAATCTCGAGGCACACCACCATGCCAGATGGGGA